GATTCGACCTCTTTTTCGCAGCTAATTAAGCCTCCCTCCAGAAAGGGATTCTTCTTCTTCTCAATTTAGTTTAGTCTCTGCTTCTCTTGACGGCTTTAATTTAATTTAAGGGATTTGCGCTCATATAGTATTACCAACCGCTCCAGTCTCAAATTTACTTGTCATTCACTCTTTCTTACCTACTTAGGTTCAAAACAACCCATGGTCATCACATTAGCTTAGCTGCAGCTTGTGTTGGGGATTTAATCTTGTTTCTTTCTTTCTTTCTTTCTTTCTTTCTTTCTTTCTTCACCTAAACACTTGTGTTGTGTTGGGGATTCCTCGAGAGATGGGAATGCATCAGCCCGATGCCTCCGACAATCTACAAGCCTTCCTGACCATGTTGGTGCTCTTCTTCTGTTGTTTACCTAGGAAGATAGGATGCTCTCTGCTAGTCTCTTCTGTTATTTCTCCATTAGTTTTTTCACTAAAGATTAATTAATGCTAGACATGATGCCTTATATCATGCACACAACAGGTTGACGGAATCGACAGCCTGATAGCTAAGCTCACGAGCCTCCTGACCAAGCTCCAGGTCCGCTCGTCAATTCATTCATCATCTCCCATTCTAGCTAGCTAGTTTCCTTATTTCTGCCTCTGCTTCTTATATAGTATAGTATGTTGATTCTCATAGTAATGATGCAAGTTTCATGGTGTGCCTTTAATTTGCTTGCAGTCTGCCAACGAGGAATCAAAAGCAGTCACAAAAGCAAGCGCCATGAAAGGTGACAACAAAACTCGCTCGTGTGCTTTACTTAGCACAACACCAAAACCTCATCATCTTAGACAGAGTTGAAAATCCCGCTCTACTTGTAATCACGCACAACATGCATTTTTGTAGCAATCAAGCAGCGAATGGAGAAAGACATTGACCAAGTCGGCAAAATTGCTCGTATGGCGAAAACAAAAGTTGATGAACTGGACAAAGATGTATGTTTTCACCTGACCTTGCTCGTCTCTCTCTGTTATTCTTCTTTGATTCCTAGCTGTATCTGCATCTGCATCTGCATGTGCACAAATTAAAAGATGGACATGCTGCTTATGGCTTGCTGTTGCAGAACTTATCTAACAGGAAGAAACCTGGATGCGAGGAGGACTCTGCGGTTGATCGATCAAGGGAACAGACTACTGGGTAAATTCCATTTACTGTCAATTTGTCTCTCTTGCCTGCATGAATTAGTCCTTGTTCACTGTGCTCGCTGATTTCTCTCTACAGAGCAGTGAAAAAGAAACTGAAGAAACGGATGGACGATTTTCAGGTATTGTTTTCCTCTAACTTGAATGTCCAAATTGACTACATGTATGTGATGATCTTCCTCTTCTGTCTGTGAATGAATAAATGTTCCCTCTAATGCCTAATAGAGTAGTACTATGTATATACAAACAAAAAAGTTAAAACTAGTCCATATTGTAAGTTTTGCAGAAGCGTCTTACCTCCCATAGGAGGCCGCGTGGTCTTTATTAATAGAGCGGGGCTTATCCCGGATATGCATACAGGAGTTTGTTACAATCGTGGCTTGCAAGCAAAGAAAGAAAGTAAAGATAAATACAGAATATGCTAACAACTCCTATCTATCTTGCTGCTCAAGCTAACTTTCAATATCTTCATCTGACGCATATCTCCGGAACTCTTCAAACGCTAACAGCCTCCCTTAATCACAACTTTATTAAGTTGAGATTACGTTTGAATTCTTCCAACATTTTCACAGGGAGAGCTTTAGTGAAACCATCTGCAACTTGATCTTTTGAATGCACAAATCGAATATCTAATAATTTGTTTGCAACTCTTTCTCTGACAAAATGAAAGTCAATTTCGATGTGCTTTGTCCTAGCATGAAAAACTGGATTAGCTGATAAATAGGTAGCACCTAGATTATCACACCACAAACAAGGAGTCTGTCTTTGATCCACTCCAAGTTCAGTGAGCAAAGACTGAACCCAAATAATTTCAGCTGTTGCATTTGCTAGAGCTTTGTATTCTGCTTCAGTGCTTGACCTTGATACTGTGGCTTGTTTCTTTGCACACCATGAAATGAGATTGGGTCCAAAGAACACAGCAAAGCCACCAGTGGATCTTCTGTCATCAAGACAACCTGCCCAATCTGCATCAGAAAAGGCACTCACCAAAGTGGAGGATGATCGTGTAAAAGTCAGTCCAACACTCTGTGTGTTTTTAACATATCTGAGTATGCGCTTTGCTGCTGTCCAATGTACGGTGGTAGGTGCATGAAGATACTGACATATTTTATTTACTGAGAAAGCAATATCAGGTCTAGTAAGAGTCAAATACTGAAGAGCACCTACTATACTTCTGTACCTTGTACTGTCCTCACTTCCCAATGGGTCTCCATCATGAGCAGATATTTTTTCAGTGTTGGAGAGAGGTGTAGGTGCTGATTTACAAGTTTGCAATCCAACTCGAGTCAAAAGATCAGATGCATATTTTTCTTGTGTCAAGACTATACCATCTCTAGTTTTCTTCACTTCAATTCCTAGAAAGAAGTGCAAATCTCCCAGATCCTTGAGTGCAAAGCTTTTGCTTAGGTCCTTTAACAGTGCTGCAATTGCTTCATTTGAAGAACTGGTGACAATTATATCATCAACATATACAAGCATATATATTGTCAATCCAGACTTATGATAAATAAACAGAGATGTGTCAGACTTGGAAGCCACAAACCCCAAGTCTTGCAACCTTGAGCATAAACGAGAGTACCATGCCCTTGGGGCTTGCTTTAATCCATAGATGGCCTTGTCAAGCCTGCAAACATGAAATGGTGCACTTGGATTTTCAAAGCCTGGGGGTTGCCTCATATAAACCTCCTCTTCCAGAACACCATGAAGAAACGCGTTCTGTACGTCTAGTTGTCGAAGACTCCATCCCCTGGAAACAGCAATAGCCAAAACAAGACGGATAGTAGCAGCTTTAACTACTGGGCTAAAGGTGTCCTCGTAGACTATTCCGTATCGCTGTTTAAATCCCTTGGCAACTAGTCTAGCTTTGTAACGATCTATAGTACCATCAGCTTTTCTTTTTATCCTATAGACCCACTTACAATCAATCAAATTTTTGCCTTCTTGTTTAGGTACTAAGTGCCACGTTTTATTTTTTTTTGAGTGCACTATATTCTTCTTCCATAGCTCTTTTCCACTTAGCATCTTCCAGTGCTTTTTCTACCGTGTCAGGTTCATTTGTACTGCTCAGCATGCTGTATTTAACCATACCTTTATAGTTGACCGGCTGTACTTTACCACTTTGAAGTCGTGTAACAGGGCGTGTTGTTGTTGTAGGCTGAAGGTGAGCTGCAGCGTTGCGTGATGCAGGAGATCCAGCAGCCTGCGCAATGGATCTGAACTGCACCGCACCAGAGGACCCTCGAGGAGACAGCGACTCGCTGTCGCTTGCTGATTGGCTGCTGTGGCCATGCAACCCACGTGAACCAGCCTCTGGATCTGAGACGGCCGGGTCAACTGCTGTTGCTGTGCCTCCTGATGGAGACTTGTCGCCAGACGAGCCGCTCGGGTCGGCTCCGGAATTTTTCACGCCAGGTTCCGAGGCCGGACGGGCTGATGCAGTTGGCAGAGCCGACGCAGATGGATCTGTCCTGGGTCGAACTCCGCGCCTGACGTACGTGCGCAGGGGAGGCGCAGGTGGATCCTCCTGAGATCGCTCGCCATGGGATCGCTCGCCATGCAAAGGGGTATCTCCCTCAAGTCCCGTGCAGTTTGGCTCTTGCTGTACATGCAATACGGGAGGTGTTCGACTGCCATTTTTTTCTGTGATTCCATCATCATTTTGTCCTGTATTTTCTGCAACATGCTCAGTAGACACGGGGTTAAAAGTATGAGGATTAACAACATTTGAATCATCGCAGTCATTATGCCCCCCATGATCAAATGGTGATGTGGGATGAAGATGCTCCGGAAGGAGCAAAATTTCTTGACGAAGACGAGCACCGGCATTAGAATGAAGTGATGCAAAGGGAAACACTGTTTCATCAAACACAACATCACGGGAAATATAGACACGACCGGTTTCCACATCTAAGCATTTGACCCCTTTATGAAGCGCACTATAGCCAAGGAAAACACATTGTTTGGATCGAAATGAAAGTTTTCGAGAGTTGTATGGTCGAAGGTTAGGCCAACATGCACATCCAAACACACGAAGGGAATTGTAGTCTGGCTTGGTATTGGTGAGGCGTTCTAAAGGTGTTTGAAAGTTGATGACCTTGCTAGGCAACATGTTGATAAGATGTGTGGCTGTTAAGAAGGCCTCATCCCAAAATTTAAGAGGCATGGAAGCATTAGCAAGGAGAGCAAGACCAACTTCAACAATATGGCGGTGTTTTCTTTCGGCCGAACCGTTTTGTTGATGTGCGTGGGGACATGAGACATGATGGGAAATGCCAATTTTCTGAAAGAATGGGTTTAATTTTTCGTATTCACCACCCCAATCAAATTGGACGGCAATAATTTTTCTGTCAAACTTTCGTTCTACGAGTGCTTGGAAATTATGGAAGACTTCAAAGACATCAGATTTTTTCTTAATGAGGTAGATCCATGTAAATTTACTGAAGTCATCAATAAAACTTACATAATAAAAATGTCTACCAACAGATTCAGGAGCTTTCCCCCATACATCGGAAAAAACAAGTTGTAGTGGAGCAGTGGATACACTAGTTGACACAGGATATGGTAATTGGTGACTCTTTGCTCTTTGGCATGAATCACACACTGACTCTGGCTCACTATGATAGGCGAGCTTATTATTCCTAAGCACTCGAAGAACAATGGAAAAAGAAGGATGACCAAGCCGGCTATGCCATCGAGTAGACGACAATTTTTCCGCACCAAAAGCTTGCTTATTTGATGTCCTAGCGTATGGAATCAAGGGGTAAAGACCTCCTTCACATCTGCCTTGGTATATTATTCTCCTCGTGACCTGGTCCTTGATCAAAAAGAATGTTGGCCAAAATTCAATATAAGCATGATTGTCAATGGTATGGCGATGAACAGATAGAAGATTTTTGGAGGCACTAGGAACATGTAAGATTTTTCGAAGACGAATTTTATGTGATGGGGTTTTAATGACTGAATGACCAACATGTGCAATTCTCATACCTGTACCTCCGGCAGTGTGTACTTGTTCCTGTCCACGATACTTGTCGTGGTACGTCAGCCTCTCTAGCTCGCTGGTGATGTGGTCGGTGGCTCCACTATCAGCATACCAGTTGGTGTCGATCCCGTAGGAGTTGGTGTTGGCGGAGCCAGCCATGTGTTCGCCTTGTTGATGGTTGTCGTCATCTTCGTAACGCCACCAACACTCGCTGGCAATGTGCTTGCCATACTTCTTGCAGATTTGACATTGTTGGATTCTCTGATCCTCACCATTGGTGCCTTGGGTGCCGCCTCCATTGCCGCGTGCAGCACCTTGGCCACCACGTGCAGCACCTTGGCCTCCCTGCCGCTGACCACCCCTAGGGTTGTTGTAGAAGGGGCGTCCACCGCGACCTTGGCCGCCTCGGCCTCCATTGCCTCGACCGCGAGGCATGCCTCGCCCGCGTGAAGGATGGCCACCGTGCCCGCGTGCTGCTGCGTTTGCGGACGACCGGAAGCCGTTCGAGCCTGCTCCTTGAAGACGCTCGAGCCGCTGGTCGAAGTTGGACAGTTGTCCAAAGAGTTCATCGGGAGTAATGGGCTCCGTCCTGTTATCCAGTGCCGACACAAGAGGGTTGTACTCCATGTCAAGGCCTGATGTGATGAACGAGACGAGTTCATCATCAGTCACCGGTTTTCCCGCCATAGCGAGTTCATCGGCATAGGAGCGCATGCGGATGAAGAAGGCTGCTGCAGTTTGGCTCCCCTTCTGGGCGTTGACGAGGGAGCTTCTTAGGTTGTTGATGCGAGCTCGTGAAGCAGAGGCGAACATGTTGCCAAGCGCCTTCCACACCTCCTGTGCAGATTCGAGCGCGGCAACAGGGATCAGCGCCTCCTTGCTTAGCGAGTTCAGGAGATAGCCCAGCACGACCTGGTCCTGGGACAGCCAGATCGCATATGCAGGGTTGGGGACGGCCACCTCCTTTCCTTCTTTGTCGGTGGAGACGAGCTTCTCATCTGGCTTGGCGATGGATCCATCAAGGTAGCCAAAGTACCCAGCGCCCCTAATCTGTGGCAGCACCTGTGCATGCCAGAGGATGAAATTGTCCCGAGTTAATTTCTCGGTGACTTGGGTGTTGAGGCTGGGTGCGGTGGTGGAGCTGGATGATGCCATGGGGACGAAGGGGGAGGTCGATCTAGACTAGATGGAAGAGGATGCTCTGATTACCATGTAAGTTTTGCAGAAGCGTCTTACCTCCCATAGGAGGCCGCGTGGTCTTTATTAATAGAGCGGGGCTTATCCCGGATATGCATACAGGAGTTTGTTACAATCGTGGCTTGCAAGCAAAGAAAGAAAGTAAAGATAAATACAGAATATGCTAACAACTCCTATCTATCTTGCTGCTCAAGCTAACTTTCAATATCTTCATCTGACGCATATCTCCGGAACTCTTCAAACGCTAACACATATTTCTACTTACTACTACTTGGGCTATTTGATTTGATATGCCCTCATATATAGAGCAGCAGCAGGGAGAAACTACTCTGCTTTCCCATGTCTATGACCCATCCAGGTTAGAATCCAGCTATATGAATTCTCAACATCTAGCTCTTCACAAGCGGTGCAAGCGGCTTCGTTGATGCTTATATGTTCTAAAAAGTAAAAAAAAGAAACATACTACTGAACTATATTTTTTGCAAATTGTCCTCCTTTCAACTTGCAGCAGTAACTTTACAAGAATGTTTATTAGCCATTATGGTAGATTATTGATACTATGCAATCAGCCTGATGTCTCTCAAGATGGAATAATATAATGCAATCTTGCAACTATGTGAGTGATATGGCGTTGTTACCCCCCTGATGCAGGTGTTGAGAGAATCAATCCGGCAGGAGTACCGGGAAGTCGTTGAAAGAAGGGTATTCACTGTAACTGGTAATCGCCCTGATGAAGAGGTATAGTTGTAACTTTTTTTTTCTATGGTTAAATTTGTGCTTTTTTCTTTCTATCCCTTCATCTTACAGTGTGTTACCCTCTGATGTTACTTTGGAACCTGCAGACAATTGACGATTTAATCGAGACAGGGAGAAGCGAGCAGATTTTCAAAGATGCGGTTCAGCAGCAGGGGAGAGGCCAGGTAGGTATATGAGGTCATGATTTGGACACTTGTGAAATCTCATGAGGATAATTTCCCAAGCATGAGTCTTGCAGGTATTGGAGACTGTTGCTGAGATACAGGAGCGGCATGATGCTGTAAGAGATCTAGAGAGGAAGCTTCTGGAGTTGCAGCAGGTTATACTATTTTCATTTGCATAATAAGCTCTTGTACAAAAAAAAATTATAGTAGTTGACACCCACCATGCATAACCTGGATATGTGAATAGAGACATATGATGCTTATATGTGAATAGATATTCCTGGATATGGCGGTGTTGGTTGAGGCTCAAGGAGACATGCTCAACCACATAGAGACACATGTAAGAGTAAGACGACCAAGACTTGTGAAATCAGTTTATATTTTCTTTCTAAATAGACCTAAACCGATTTCATAAATAAAGCAAGCAAAGCTAACCACCATTTTGTTTGTTTGTTGCAAGGTTTCAAATGCTACCAACCACATACAGCAAGGCGTGGGTGCTCTCCAGAAGGCAAAGGCGCTTCAGAAGAACTCGAGAAAGTGGATGTGCTACGCCATCATCCTTCTGCTGGTGGTAGTGGCTATCGTCGTGCTCGGGGTGATCCAGCCATGGAAGAAGAAGTAACCCTTGAGCCACGACCTGCCAACATCTCGGCGCGGCGGCATATATACATATATTCTGTGTTTTTTTTCTATGTGTGCATTTTGTCTCTGTAGTTCAGTGACCGAGTGATTCACACTCTTGTATCTATGGCTGCTGTACTGTACGGCTGGCTATGTTCACCCAACCCAACCAAGCCCATATTGTTTGCACAATATCTCTACTCCTATAAAAGACTCAGTTGGTAATGATTGTGTGCCTGTCATCCATCATTTCTGACCATCAGATCTGCATCTAACAACTGTGATGTAAAAGCTGTGGCATTTTTTGCAGCAAGACCCCACTTCTGTGCTCCAATTTGCAGAAGCCCCTTAGTATCTTGAAACCAACCACATCCCTCCCCCACCTCATCAAAAAAGCCACAAGGAATATATTTTAAGTGAAACCTAAT